GCCATGGCCGACGACCATCACCGGCAAGGCCACACCAGGGCACCCCACCGCCACCGCACTCCACACTCACCCGCACTCACGTACACATAGTTAGTTGATTAGAATAGGGCCCCTAGGGCCGAGTCCGTCGCACAGCGCCGCCGTGACCTCTCTGGCGAGCCGCTACCGCTGCCATGGGCACCTGTCATCGACGGCAACCCGCCATCAGCTGCGGCGTGACCCCGCGAGCCCTGTCCGCCATTCACCCATCACCACCGAGGGCTAACGCCGCCGCTGTAAGCCACTCCGGCAAGCCCAACGCCTCATCCCCTGTTTCCGTCACCGGCGCGGTCACCTCCGTCCGCCGCCATCACCCCTCCTCCCCTTTCCTGTCTCCACCATGTGGGACCGGGTGGAAATGATGTTGCTGTTATCCTCCGTCCCCGTCCGTCTCTCTCTCTTTCCTTTCCTCACTGTCATGTGGGCCCAATGCCTTAACGCCGCCGCCGCCATCACTGCTGATGTAGGTAGGGCGGCCCACCTATCATCCGCACACACACACACCACACACACAGCGTGGGGTACACTTTAGAAAATGATGGGCACACCCGACTTGTGTACACAGAGAGTTAGAAATGCACCTTCCTAACTTAGAAAAAATCCCATAAATTTGTAAATAAACGAGATGCATTAGGGAATTTAATTATGTAGTTTGCACATATTTTCATGCACCAAAAAATGCATATAAAATTCCACCTAGTTAAATAGCTATAGGATAAACTCCTAAAATACATAACTTCTAAACCCTAACTCCTTTTTGCATGCAACCACCTCTAAAATTCATCTAAAATCCAACCCTATCATTTGCAGCTAGTGCCACCATATAGTTCTATGTTTGCTTTTGCCCTTTTCTTTTATGGTTAGCGGTAGCCTTATTTCAAACGATTCGCCCGACAAACGACGGTAATCGTCAGGAGGACGAGGACACGAATTTTGTAGATGTGCTGGAAGGTGACAACGACGAAGGCAAGTCTTAGCTCTCCTCTCTACCATCTTGCTTTAAACCACTGAAATGCTAAAACATGACTATAAGATTATTACCCTAAAATATGAGCTCGATTAATGTGATATGCTTAAGATAAATGGTTATCTTGTTATTTTATGAGCTCCATGTTATGACTAGATTTAGGGATAATAATAAAACTTAAAACTTATTAAACCTGAAACTAAACTCCGACACGGGGCGAGTGGTGGTAAGCTATGGAGGTAGTTTACCATGGCAGGGATGTCTGAAGAGGATTCGTGTGGGAGATACTCGCCTCGGTCATATAAGGACCGGTTCGTAGTCCCTCTAGCCTTGTGAGTTATTTTCATACAGCCACATGTCTATATGGGTAGGCTTGATCTCACACCCCGTTAGATAGAAGTATAATTCCTACTAGGAGGCCGTTGTAGGTAGCGGAATATCAGGAGCCGACACGGGGGATAGGTCTTCTTCCGTGGTCCGGTTGGCGTGGATGCTATGTGATCTTCCACGTTAAACTTTTGTTTTTGGCCGCGTTCGAGCTCTTGTTTTCTTGGCCGTGTTCGAGCCATGTTTTTTCTTTTGTGATGATTTGGTATCATCACGTTTGGGGGGATTTAGTATCTTCCCGGTTTTGTGTTTTCAACCCCTGAGAAGCCGTAGTAGAGTTATATGGATATCTAAGGTCACGTATATTCGGGTACGAGGTCTCGTTAGGTCTATTTCGTCCACTGGTCATGGATGAGGCTGCACCTATCGTGTGGGGAAATTTGTACACCTCTGCAGAGTTTATTAAATCTATTCGAATAGCCACGTCCTTGGAATGAACAAATGCTAGGATGTGATACTATGATTAGTTTTACTCTTATGTGTAATGAAACTGGTTATGGAATTGATACTAATCCGGGTACCAGTGGGAATAGTAATACTCCACTAGGACCGAACCCTTAATTATAATCACCACTACACTTCTATTTCCACCCTATGGTTAGGGCTTACTGAGTACGTATGTACTCACCCGTTGTTGACTCATAGACCTCAGCACAGAAGAAGACTATGACTTCGACGAAGAAGCGTACCACGAGGATTAGAATTCCCGCTAGGAGATTCGTTTGTAGGAGTATGACATCGAGGCTAGGGTTTCGACCGCGCTCAAGTTGCCTGTGGAATAGGACACCGCTTCGTTGTATTATAATTTCGCTTTAGAGACCATCAATAATGCCGTTTCACGACCGTAGTCTTCTGCTAGCTATGTAGTCTATGACCGTGCCCCTTGGGCCACTGTTGTAAGACCTTATTTCTAGATATCAATAAAGGTCGGAACCTTTTATTATATGTATGTGTACTATTTCTATGAATTAGTGCGTATTTGTACGTGATTCTGACACAAATACGGATGCACTTAGGATTCTCAAATTGAGGGGCCGACAGCCAGCCCCAACGTGACACGTTGGATATTAGCCTCAGTATTCCATGTAGGAGACCAACACCCAGCTCAGCTTAGACGGTGGTTTGTAGAGTCGCATAGTAACCTGTAGAAGCTAGTGACTTCGCTGACATAAAGTATGAAGGCACCCCAGGCACCGCGTTGGGAGAATGATGCTTCTGCTATACGATACACAGTATTAAAGCAAGGAAAAGACAAATTATGCTTCTGCTACACAGTATTAAAGCAGGGGAAAAGATAACTGGTAGGGTCTAGCACTAGAAGTAGTTTGGGTTGAAAGTTACGCTGTGTTTAGCTCGTGAAATGAATTTTTTTTATGTCACAACGGATGTTTCGGGGATGTTGGAAGGGGTTTTTGATACTAATAAAAAAACTAATTACATAGCTCGCCTGGAAACTGCGAGACGAATTTATTAAGCCTAATTAATCCATCATTAGCGCATGTTAGTACTGTAGCACTTATGACTAATCATGGACTAATTAGTCTTAAAACATTCGTCTCGCGATTTCCAACCAAATTGTGCAATTAGTTTTTTTTGTCTATATTTAATACTCCATGCATGTGCTGCAAGATTCGATGTGATAGTTTGGGGTGAAAATTTTTAGAAACAAAACCAGGCCTTAGTCATCCGTTTATACTGAAATTTGGCTTGTGCTAATTTGTTGTGAGAAAAAAATATTATTTATTTGCTAAAAAATAGTTCAAGCGATGAATATTTTGCTGGTAGTGACTTCAACTGATGTGTAACATTCTCTCTCTGAAACCACTATAGCGTTGGCCATGCCCTTATAAATGCTGATACGGTTTATGTCGGTTGACTGGTGGTGGGCCTTCAGTCAGCCCAAAAGTTGATGTGGAACCACACCTAGCCCCTGAGTCCCACGCGGCACTCCATCAACGGCTTCACTGCATCGAATTCGGCACCCAGCGTTGCGTGCACAAGTTACGTTAGGTAAGACTGTCTCCGACGGCCTCACCTAAACCTAAATATGCATAGTCCATATTGGTTTCGGTGAAAAAAACAAGATCCAACGGAGTAGGCAAACCGAAGACACAGTATGCGTCGGTGTCGAATGGGAACCCAAATAAGCGTCCGTCTCTCTCATCGACCCATATCTTTGTCACGCCCGCGCAACCGTGCGCAACTGTTTCGCGGGAGGGGAAAGAAGCGCCCCAGCGAGTTGCCGTCGGCGAGATCTGCACTGAGCTAGGCTTCGCAGGTACGGATCCCTCCGCCCCACCGCCGCGTCCTCCCGCTGGTGGTAGTAGTAGCTCCCTGTTCTTTATCTCCTTCTCCAGGTTGAATACGAACTCGCTCGCCCTCCCGTTTAGAATCCTAGATCTCGAATCTCATACGTTTGTCTCTCATACCGGAGGTTCTTGCGGCTCCCTACTGCCCATGCCTTTCTTTGCGGTTGCTGCGGCCGGAGTCGTGCGCGTGCGCCGTCGTCGTCGTCCGAGGAACTCTGGCGTTTGCGATGGCGACATAATTCCGCTTGTGGCTTTCGTCTCAGGTAGGTTTCTCTATGAGAGTTCGCTCTCATATTTTGTTCCTGCGGCAATGGACGTTTTTTTAGTTGGGTTATCTATTTGGAAAACAGAGCACTGTGATTCGCATATAGCTTTGGAGGATTCGTAGTTCTTGGGTGTGCGCTATGGTACTGTCCGATGTGGATTCAATAGAAAATACTGGAACCTCTGATTCTTCCCAGTGCTCTAGATTTCTAGGATCCTTGTCACTCTGTGGGTTCATGAGGCTTGTGAAATTTTCACTTTACGCTTCGGTGTACTTTGCATCTATTTTCTCTTCCTTCCTACTACCACTATGTGCTGATGTGTTGCATCTGCCAGAACTGCAGGTCCATTGTTGCTCGCAGATCTTAGGCTTTTTTTCTGGTGGTGGTGATGGGTTGCTAAAAGTGGAACAGCGTTCTTAAATCGCATCCGACATCCTGGTACTTGGCTTCTTCCACTGAACTGTTTTTTCCACTTCAAAATAGTATATGCTTACCTTGCCTTTGATTACATATTCTTGCTGAATAACTACGATTCATCTACACTTTCAAGCTTGTGACATTGGTGATGGCCTTGCAAGGAAGGAAGTGTCTGTGTTACTCTATGAGACATCTTAAACTAAACAACATTAAATACAGTAAAAAACTTGTCTTGTTGACTACTTCCCCGTGGCATATATGTTACTGGTGGTTTTAGATAGGGACCAAATTGCCTATGGATGAAAAAACCAAATGCATCGTCTGTGCTGATATATTCTTTTGCTTCTTGTTGTGCATCATCATTATTGAATCTCTTTGAACAGGATGATGGATAACATTTTTAGTGGCACAAGTGGTCGCGTTGGCGAATCTGGAGAAATCTTTGGGGCAGATCAATGGCCTTTTGGTTATTCTGCTGCTTTGCAATCTTTGGATGTTCCTCCAAACCCCAGGTTTATTGCAGCCATGCATGATGGTTTGTTCTATTTACATATCAATACATCAATGATTAACAGTTCTTTTCATCACTAGTTCAACATGCATGGCTCCTCCCGGATGTCCTGCCCACCTATGAATGGGCAACTTAGTCAGGGGTTCTCCATTGACGACACCCATGGCTCTCAGGACCCTCCATCATTGAAATCACAAAGGGCCGCAAAGAAGAAAAACGGGTCCAGGAGAGGAACTGCATTCACCAAAGAGGAGGACTTGGTGGTGTGTTCGGCATTTCTGAATATTAGCAAAGACCCTATTACTGGTAATAGTTTGCAACGTCTTTTAAGAAATCTTTGACCCTTTGATGCCCAAATAACATGGTGGCATAACATGCAGGTACGAATCAGACTTCAGGTGGTTATTACAAGAGGATGCATGATTATTTCAATGAGCATAAGCCTGAAAGGTCCAACCGTAGCCAGATTGCGATTCAGCATAGGTGGGCATTGATTCAGAAAGCGATGAACAAGTTCTGTGGGCACAAAGAAGCTATTGATAGGCTGAATGAGAGTAGAAAAAATGAGCAGGATCGGGTATACTTCCACTCATGTTGTCCTTCATCTCTCTAATTTTCATATGTTTATTTTTTGAATCAGTTTAGTCTATATTCATATGTGCAGATTGATGATGCTGTACAAATGTATGAGAGGACGAGAACCTTTTACCATCATGCATTTTGGAAAAAACTTATAGCGAGGCCAAATGGAATAATAAGTTTCTTGAGCTAAACAAGCTGTACATCACCGGATGGAATGTCATCTCCTCCAACTCAAAGCCATAGTGTGGTGGCCATGCGAGAATCTGGGAATGAGAATATAGACACATCACGCCCACGAGGGTAGGGATAGTGCGAAGAGGCGTAGATCAAAGAGCTTCACAGAGACATCGTCATCTAGTACTGTTTGTTGAAGTCCTCCGGTGGTTGCAGGAGAAATCGAGAGAAGACCGAATGAAGCAAGATCACAAATGACCGAAATCCTTAGTAGGAAGGATGAAAAATTAGAATTCAAAGGGATCTTTTCAACCTTCGGAAGAAGCATATGAAGATGAGTGTACAACGAAAAAAAGAAAAAAATGCGATTAGAGAGAAGGAGTCGGAGGCTCACGATATCGGTGAGTCTAGTATTATGTCGATTGACATTGAGAAGGTCCCCTTTATCGAAAAACTATTATCTGGGCATGCGTGCAAATCATGGAGCGCAGAGGATTCATCACCCCTCGAACAATGAAGACTAAGGAGCGTGTGTTAAACTTGAGTTGAACTAGAGTTGAATAAATGTATTGTGTGCAACTTTTCTATTATCTGTTGAACTGATGTATTATCTCTAGTGTTGTGAACTGCTGTTTGATCTTTTGGTAAGCACTGGCTGTGAATGAAAATCCTCTTGTTTGCAATATCTGAATGTTGGATGCATGAGTTTGATTTCTTCAGGTTTCATTCTTGCAAGCACTTATTTGATTTGTTTAATCCCTGTGAGAGTTGTAGCCTTAATCTTGCTCTGTATGAATTAATATCCTGCTGCTTGTCAAGTTTGCCTGAGACTTTGCTCAGTTCGTGTGTAACAACCGGCTACCAAGGCTTCATCCTTTTTGTTATGTCATTTTGATGCAATAGGGGAACATCTTTTCAAGCAATCATTAGTCCGTGACTGAAGCTTAATTTATTCTCTTTGCTTGAGAAATGTACTTTGTTGTTCTGCTGCTCAAGTTGGACTGACCAGTTTGCTTGAGCATTGTTTCTTCAGCTGCACCTGAGTTCAGCCAACATTGTTGTTTTCTGTATTTTTAGTAGCAGCTGTGAGCTCTTGCTATTTTCTAGCGCATTGTTCTCTGTAAGTGCAGTACCCATTTTCAGCAGCTAGTCCTAAAGCTGTTTTTTTCCAAGTTGCAATTGCACCATATAAATTCTTGTAACTATCTATTAGTTTCCAAGTTGCAATTTACATCTATTGCAGGCAGAGTGCCAAGTAGTATCTGGTTTCAGTGGATTATCTCATTATCGTCATCAGCCAGTTTTTTTTACATCTCAGATGTTTGGACTCTGAAAAAATACTCTAGAAAACTTTTGTTTTACCAAGAGTGGATCAGCATTATAAATCACTAATTTTGTGCCAGTCAGTTGTCAGGTCCTCATAGGAAAGATGCTTCAGCAAGCATTTAGCTCATATCAACAAGTTTACACACTGATAAACCTGATTCCTGATTCGACACTCCCCTGAAGTTCTAGCATGCATATCCTCCCCCTCAAGATGACTCTTATCACACAGCTATAAGTGAATTAAGAAATCAACACAATCTACACATAATTAGATTCAAGCCATCTAATCCTAGATAGAATAGAAAAGGGATTGCAGATTCCCATCCACCCCAACTGCCGAGAACATCAATGCGAGCTAGGCTGAAGCCAAAGCTTATCCAAGCAAGCATGGCCAAGAACAGAAATAAGCGGCATCAGCCAAAAAATACTGTTAAACTTATCAGTAGGAGCCATCCAATCTGTGGCGACAGTGAACTCAAGAACAGAACTGACCATCATATATTTTTTATCAACAAGCAACAAAATATCTACATGTGTTGGCTGTCAACAAAATACAAAGGCCTTATCAGTAGGCTGCCTGCAGCTAAACCTACAGCTACATACAGAGACGGCAACAAAAAAACTAAACCTACAGGTAAATACTTTAGTTCCTGTTATTAGGACCAAAAGGACCAAAGCATTGGCCGTAAAGCTTCCACATGTGTTCCATCAGGTCGTTTTGAAGCTGAGCTGCTGTCTCTCTGTCCTGAATGATGTTTTGAGCATCAACAAGTTTCTCAATTCCCGGGATTTCTCTATCCTGGTTAATTGGTGGGTCAACCACTCCAGGCCATTCTGATGGGTGGATATTAGGTAGCTGAACCCCGCGCTCATCTTCAACTACCATGTTGTGAAGTATGACACAAGCACGCATAATGGAATTAAGTACTTTTTGATTCCATAAACGAGCTGGCCTATGCAAGATTTTCCACTTAGCCTGTAGGACACCAAAAGCTCTCTCCACGTCCTTTCGACATGACTCATGTTGCTCTGAAAATACCTTTTGCTTGTTGCTAACTGGCAAAGGAATGCTTTTCACTAGTGTAGCCTAATCGGGATAGATGCCATCTGCTAGGTAGTATCCAAGGGAATATATGTTGTCGTTGACATGGAACTCAACAGAGGGTGCCCTCCCGTTAGCCAAATCATCAAAAACATTGGAACGATGTAAAACATTAATGTCATTGTGAGACCCTGGTAAACCAAAGTAAGCATGCCAAATCCGAAGATCCTCGGTCGCCACCGCCTCAAGTATTAGAGTTGGCTTGCCTTTGTGCCCTCTGTACATGCCTTGCCAACCAGTCGGGCAGTTAAACCATTCCCAGTGCATGCAATCGATGTTGCCTATCATTCCCGGGAAACCTCTAGCCAAATTGATGCTTAATATGTGCTCTATCTCCTCACTTCTGGGAGGACGAAGAAATTCTTTGCCGAACACCTCGATCACAGTCATAACAAATTCCTTCAGGGTCTCCAGGACAGTACTCTCTCCCATTTTCAAATGATCATCCAACTCATCAGCTGGGCCTCCATATGCTAGCATCTTTACAGCCACCGTGCACTTGTGAAGAGCAGAGAATCCTAACTGCCCAGCAGCATCTCTCCTCTGTTCAAAGAAGATATTCTTGGCAGTGACCTCATCCACTATCCGAAGGAACAATTCCCGTCTCATGCGGAACCTACAGCACAAAATCAGAGTTGTTTATCAAATTAATTCAATGTGTCATGCAAATGGAAACTAGGCCAAAGATTGTACCTCCTTCTAAAATGTTCCTCAGTGTAAAGTGGACGTTCAACAAAGTAGTCCTGATTTAGTTGCCGGTCTGCTGCAATTCGATCATGCTTGTAAGTCTTGTGGCCTGGCATCGAACCTCCCCAAGGGCGCTTTTGTGGCGTCTGGGTGAGGACGGCCACCGCAACCATGATCTCATCGTCCCTGGAGTATGCTGCGGCTGTCCCGAACATTGAAATTTTGACATAATTCCAAGCCATGGCAACGCAACTACAGTCCAGGTCTAAAGCCAAGCTAATTTAGGGACAAATTAGAACCTGACAATTCACAAGGATAAGCTTATCAGTTTTGTGAAGAAAAAACTGAAACATTCCCATGGGTTTAGATGCATAAATTACAAGAAACTGCAGTGGTTCAACCATTTAGTTTATGCTATTTTAATCCTTTAGATAGACAACTAGACAACTGCACTTCAGTTCTAATTTAACTTGACAACAAACTGCTCGTACCTTGTGCACTTGATTATGCCTGCTGCTACAAGACTCCACACTGTAACAAGACTCCACATGCTTGATTATACCATCAGAACAAAGCTGTGCTGCTAAACAAATGTTAAAATCAGTATATGGAAAATATTCAAGATACAAGAAAAATAGAAAACAAGTGATTGATCTCGTATTTAATTTATTGACATGCACAGTTAAACTACAAATAATTGTGTACCTGTCAAACATTTTACTACTAAGGTATCCAATTGCATCTCTTAGTATATGTCAAACATTGATACAAGAAAAAGGAGACTAGATGAAGAAGCATGCAGCAGTAACAATCATGAAGTCAGTTGCCCATGGAACATTATGCAAAGAAAAATACAGCATGACTTGCAAGTGGAGGTCATTGCAGTATTTAGTGTCTCGAAGCAGCAGGGCCTCGTATCTCATGGCAAGGCAGCTCTGTCAGTGTACATGAAGGGTAACAGTATTAGCAGAGAAGAACGCATCGCATGCTCTGCATTTGTGCGAACAGAAGTGAAAAAGGACGCATTGAAGCCTGATAAAACCAATGGTGAACACATGTTGGTTGATGAATTTGAGTGTTGCACTTGCACAGTTGCACTGTTGCTTGCTAGTGTGTTTGAAACATGCTGCGATCATCTAAAATAAGATGCTGCAAGCCTGCAATTAGGAATGTATACTGAACTGAAGCACGACTACTGCGGGCGCACAAATCAGAGTAAAACTAAAACCACAGGTAGGGCGCACGAACTAGCAATAGCAGTGCATAATCTGCAGCACACCGTACCCTGCCGCCGCCCTTCTTCCTCGGCCGGCCCCCACCGTCGTCGTCCTCCCCGTCCTCGTCCTGGTTGGCTGAGTCCACGCGGGGCAGGGCTCAGCGGGCGCGGCTGGGGCTCCTCCTCGCGCCCCCACCTCCGGCCGCTCCGGCGTCGGCGTCGGCGTCTGGGGCGGGGCTCAGAGCGGGCGCTGCCGGATCTGGTGGCAGGAGAAGTGGCGGCGTCGGCGCCTGGGGCAGCAGGAGAAGTGGCGGCGAGCTGTCAGGGCCGAACCGGCGGCGTCATGGCGCGGAGGGGCGGCATGGGGCAGGGGCGGAGGAGAGGCGTCGCAGGGGCGGTTCTGCGTGCGTGCGTGCGGCGCGAGGGACGGGTGCAGATGTGCGGTGACTGCCGCAACTGGACGGCACCACAGCTCACGGGCCCATGGACGCCGCTCCGTCTCCGCCGCGTCGCTTCCACATGGATTCCGCCGGCTACCTCGCTGCCAGTTTGACTCCCTTCTCACACGCAGCCGGGGCTGGCAAGATAATCCAGCCATGGAGCCAAGCCCGCAATACCGTGAAAATTTCATGGACCGCGCGCAAATGAAACCGTCCGTGTTCCAACCTTTCCTTCTGCATTCGTTGTTGGAGAAGGAAGCTTTTAGGGCGCGACCTTTTCATTCCAGGGAGGACGCATATCACGAATAGGTCTCCTATTTTGAGTCTTATCATTGGAGATAGTCTAAGACCATTCATTTCTGGATTATGCTTCAATATATAATTGCCCCTTATATATCGAAGGTAAAAGTTATAAAATCTTGACTTAGGTCCAATCTAATGGTCTTATATTTATGATTAGATAGAGGAAGTATATACATGAAACGAAGTGAAAGTGCAGCTGGGATGTACCGGGTGTCTGACGTTATAATGGTGCAGAGCGTAGTGCACCTGCGGAATGATGAACAAGTCGCGCTCCCTGCATTTTATAACATTCAAAAAAGCATGCCATTGTATTGAGTAACTAGATTGATGTCAAGTTGATACTAAGTTATACTATTTATTTATAGTAGCTCCAAGTAACAAGCAAATAGAGAAGAAACCGGCCCGGACTTGGAGTGAATGGAAATTATACTTTATTGTGGAGCCAACAATTTCTCATTATAATAACAAAATTTATAGGACCCAACTGATAAACTAAAATAGTTTAATTGTTTTTTTTTAAGAAAAGACATGGTATGATCTCGGTATAAACTGTCCCTAGCTAATCTTCTATCATATACATCAAAGGGAACTACTTATATATAACAACAAAGCTTATAGTTATAGCAAATGCATTGAATGGAGGATTCAATCCGAGAATATATCACGATTTTGTTTGGAAATAAAAGTTATCAGACGTACCCGATGAATTTTCTTTGTGCAGAGAGAGAGAGAGAGAGAGAGAGAGAGAGAGAGAGAGAGATCGTTACCTATCTAGTGAGCAACTAACCAAGCAATCAAGTCGATGAAAAAGTTGAGAGGGCCGGGCCTACCGTACCGTTCTCCGGACACGGGAGGTAACGGAGGAGATTGCTTGTTACTCTATCTATGTCGCTTCCAGATGCTTTCCCTTCTTGAGCTTTTGTTTGGATTGGAAAAAAGGGCCTCTGCTGCTTTTGCCGTAGCAACCAATCAATCTTCTGATCGAGACCCTCTTTCAGTCCTCCCTCGAGGCCCCCCGTTTCATTTATTTTATTTTATTTATTGAGATTGATTGAGAGGAGAGGGGAGAGGTACACGATCCAGCCCAACAAGAAAAATGCAGCTCCATGTTCTTTCTCTGTTGGGGCCCAACCCAAAAAGCAGAAATCTCGGGTGACCAGCCCAACAGAACAGCAGCAGGTCTCCTCACCTTCCCTGCCTGACCACCTGATATTTCTTCCCTTCTTTCCCCAGCAGCAGCAGGTCCCCAATCCCTTTCCCTTCACGGCTGGCTGCACTGCACGCTCTTGGCCGGAGGAGCCCCGGCGCCAGACTCGCCGAGTGCCCGAGCCGCAGCAGGCCCGCCCCTCTGCTCTGCCTACGCGAGCCACTCCAGCCACCACGCTTCTCCTCCACCGCTCTTTCATCTCCTCCACCGCTCGCGCGCCGCACTCCTCCCAAATCACTGTGCCACGCCCACGCCCACGGAGAAGGCAAGGAGGCAGCAGGGACGTCAACGGCAACGGCAACGGCAACGGCGTGGAGCTGCCGGCTGCGTCTGCGGCCCTCGCTTCCAGGCTCCGCGGCGCTCACGTTCACCTCCTGCCTCCCTTCCGCCGCTGTTTTTGCTGTCGGCCGGGTTCTCCACGGCCCGACCCCAACTTCAATCAGGTGTAAATATCCACAATCCGGCGTTGCATTTGCATTGCAGTGCAGGGGCCAACAATCGCAGAATCCGAGGGAAAAAAGGAAGGGAAGATGATGACTGCCTCTTGCTACATCTGCCGCTCCGTCGTCCGTGTTCCTCCTCCGCTCAGGTCCAGGACTGCAGTGCGCTGCCAAAGCGCCGCGCCGCCAGGTGCCAGCGGTGCCACCTCCACCTCCAAGGTAACCCACTACGTGTGCTTCACAATTTTTATACCTGGAGCCACCAGCGGAGGGATATGTCGTATGTAGCTTCTTTGGGATAAAATAATAAAGAGTGGGGGGTCATGTATAAGCTTAAACTACTGATTCACTTGTCTATCTGGCGCTGCTCGGTTCTCGTGTGTGTAGCTTGTCCTAGAGGTGAAAGAACGGCTAGCGAGGGAGCATCCAGGCCTCCCCACGGGCAGGAATGGGAGAGACGATGACGACATGGTCCTCTGGTTCTTGAAGGACCGCAAATTCTCTGTCGATGAAGCAGTCTCCAAGCTCACCAAGGCAATTGTATCCTCATGTTTGAATTTATTAGATGTTCTCACACATTTTTGTTAGAGGGGTTTACATCCTTGGTCTTTGAACCAATGTGCAATTTTGATATATAAAGTTATACCCTTCACACCTCAAGCTGATATTTACCAATATGCAGTTTCGATATAAACTGATACCCTTCACACATCAAGATTCATGTTTTGCAAGATCATGGGAAACCTAATAATTTACTCACTAAACTCCTGGTATTGTAACAGAATCTATATAATCATTGGTATCTTCAGCTTTCCTTTCAACTGCATTAGAAATGGCGCCAGGATTTTGGTGTTTCAGAGTTATCAGAAGAATCAGTGAAAGGCCTCTACCAAACTGGCAAGGCATATGTACATGATTCTTTGGACGTTTACGGCAGACCTGTGCTAGTTGTAGTGGCAGCCAAACATTTCCCTTCGGTGTGTTCCTTTTGTTTCCCAATCTTGATTTGGAAATGTTCAACAGGGATAGTGGCTACACATACAGTGTTTCCAATTTTTAGAATAGCACAAAGAACAAAAGAAGACAGCGTGTGGTGGCAAACTATCAGTATTACTTCATAGCAGCTCCAAAATTAAACTACATGGCTTAGCTAGCTGACTTGTAACTTAAAGATATCTCTTGTATTCGACAAGCATTTGCTCTTAGTAATACTGATGATCCATGTATAATATGCTACTGCAGACACAGGATCCAGTTGAAAACCAGAAGCTATGTGCCTATTTGGTTGAGAAGGCAGTAAGCAGACTTCCCTCAGGAGCAGAGAATATACTTGGAATCTTTGATCTGCGAGGCTTTCGTGTTGAAAATGGTGATCTCCAGTTCCTAAAGTTTTTGGTAAGTTTGATAGCTTCAAGGCATGACTAAGAATCTCTGATTGCCTTTTGTGCTGTTCAGCGGCAGACATGCATACTTTTATTTGCGATGATATAAAAGAATGTGAAAAGAGAGCAGTGTAATGCCACAGGAAAACATTAGTAAATCATTCATGTAATGTATACATCATCCATTGCAAGGAGTAATTCCAAGCAATAAACTATTTCTACATACGAAAACTGTGATGAGGCACACCAATTAGAAAAGACAAATGGCGTGTTCATGATCTCAGATGGCAAAAGAACAAGTTTATCTAATGGATTAATTCAAATCACATATGGATTTCCTGCTATATGCTGCAACTATTATATATATCTAAACATTTTTTTTTTGGTATATGCATCGCAATTAATGCCCCCTCCCATTCCCAGATTGATGTTTTTTACTATTACTACCCGAAGCGGCTTGGCCAAGTTCTTTTTGTCGATGCTCCATTTGTTTTTCAACCAATGTGGCAGGTTGTCAAACCTCTGTTGAAATCATATGCCTCCCTGGTATGCTCTCCCTCTCTCTTAGGTTAGTGCTTCATCAAACGATATGGATAATCTTACAATCAACTGCTATGTTACCCCTGCTAGGTAAGATTTTGCGATGCCGAGACTGTGAGAAAGGAATACTTCGTAGAAGAAACTGTGCCTCCTGATTTCCGCAATTAGGTGCCACGATTATTTCTTCAGTAATTGCAAGTCAGTTCTACCTCTGCTTTTGTGCCACGATTAAAGTTCTAAACTGTGCAGATTATTTTTAGTTCTTCCAATCTCTCCTAAAAACTATTTTGCAGAAATGTGCAGGTGGTTTCGGAAACATGGCCTTTAATTCATCGAGAATGGATTTGGCACCCAGGGTGGGCTGGCGCCTTCCCTATCTGTACCGTTGGATTAACTTCTCAAAAGTTGCTGAGACGGAGACTAACGGCAGCAAACGTTTGGAGGGTCCAGTAAAAGAATGGCCACTATACTTGTATAACTTCTGTGGAGCAGAATGCTCTGTTTTAGGCTGCTATCTGGAATGGTCCTGTACCATTTTTTTTTCTGGTCTTGGATGAAGCTATATATGGACTTCATCCATCTCCGTTGAACAATTGCCAATTACATAACTTGTGTATGCCCAATTCCATACATGGATTCCATTTTTTTTAATCAAAGTTCTGTCTGCTATAAAATTGAATCATGGCTTAGTTTGTAGTTGTAGACTTCATAAAGAAACACAAACTAATCAAACCAGCTTTTGAAGAGTCTGCTATGGATAGGAAAGTTACAAAGCAAAATAAGATACAAAGTTGTATTACATAAAAACCAGGTATGCATCAAATCAGTTGCATTCATAAAAATCAGGTATACATCAAATCAGTTGCATTCTGGAAAACTAATCTGCAACAAAAGAGAAAAAATCGAGCAAGTGGGCCCGGTGGCACGAATCATGGAGCACAGAAAAGACCAAAGAAACATTGTTGCAAAAGACCACAGCCACTTGCTTCTCATCTCCTTTCTCCTCGGACTCCTCCGCCTTCCACTCATCTTTCCCCCTGCCGTCGTGTATCATCTCCGGCCAGGCCGCCTTCATTCCTCTCCCTCACCTCCGCCTCCGGTCCGGCCGCCTCCACTTTTTGCACCCCAGAAGCGTACATCACTGTGTAGCTGCTGCTGCTGCTGCTGCTGGCCGCCATGGCCACTACAGTCATGGCCGCGGCCGTCTCCTTCCCGTCCTCCTCGGCCGCCTCTACGGTCGTCAAAGCGTCGCCAACGTCGCCCTGTACCGCCCCACACTTCCTCTCCTACCGCCCGAGGGCCGCGCGGGCCGCCATCCGGGCGCAGGCGTCCGCCACTGACACCGCCGTCGAGGCGCCCGCCAAGTCCAAGAAGGAATCCAAGAAGCAGGAGGAAGGCGTCGTCACCAACTTGTACAAGCCCAAGGAGCCGTACATAGGCAAGTGCCTCCTCAACACCAAGATCACCGGCGACGACGCGCCGGGTGAGACGTGGCACATGGTCTTCAGCACCGAAGGTAGGTTACTCTTGTAGTCTTGTTGGTTTGTTTGTGCTCAGTTCCTTCGTCCCACGATGACAGGTGCCCAACTGTTGTACACGCACTGCACGCAGGCAAGATCCCGTACAGAGAGGGCCAGTCCATCGGCATCATCGCTGACGGCGTCGACAAGAGTGGCAAGCCGCACAAGCTCAGGCTCTACTCCATCGCCAGCAGCGCTCTCGGCGACTTTGGTGACTCCAAGACAGTCAGTAGTCCTCTCCTCTGCTCTCTCTGAACCAACCATTCTCCATCATTTTCTTTATGAGCATTTCTTTCTGGCGAGACGAGCAAGGCAGAAATAATCGCCTGACTTGTGCTTCATCTGCAGGTCTCACTGTGTGTCAAGAGGCTCGTTTACACCAACGAGGCTGGAGAGATCGTCAAAGGAGTCTGCTCCAACTTCTTATGTAAGTCTCGTCACTTTCCGCCTGCGCTGCGCTGCATTTCGTTCTTCTTCTCTGCATCTCCTCCTTCTCAAGAATTGATTTCTTAGAATAGAAGTCGTCAGAATTCAGATTTTGACATCTGATTCTCATGACACCGGCTTTTACTGAATGTGGATGACACTGACTTTACTAGCTGCTTCATTATCTTCCTTTAAAAAAAAGTTTTCCTCTGCTTTTAAGAAAGCAATATAGTTTGATACAAAGTCTGCTGGGATTGCCAGATCTCCAAACAAAACCTAAAGAAGGACTCTATTACAGCTTAGATTTCAACAATGTCTGAATCTAGAACAGCCAGAGCGTCCACTCCAACACGATCGCCATTATCTTGCCAATCCTGTCTTTGTCCACCGGCTTAAGCAGTACCAGCCACTTCTGCAAAAAGATTAAAGCACGAAAAATAATCTCAGAAGGCTTATCCAATTTTTTTTCAATAGCCATCTTATTGCGCGCCTCATTATTTTCTTCTTGTGCACAGTTACTGTCCCATTAAATCAATGGTACCCTTGGCCTTCACACATTACTGTTATATTTAATCCACTAATCCTGACCTGACTTCATTGAACTGACACGGTACCAAAATGGAAGCCTTAGAACGAATGTGGTCCTATACCAGCACCGTGTTGTGGCATCCATCCATAATCCTCATTTCATTGACATGTATCTGGATCTCGCATTATATTATATGATCCTTCACTTTAAGGTTGACACCTGAATGCCTGATCCAACTTGTTCCCCTGTGCTCATATCATTATGCAGGTGACCTGAAGCCAGGTGCTGACGTCCAGATAACAGGACCAGTTGGCAAAGAAATGCTCATGCCTAAAGACCCCAACGCTACTATTATAATGGTAAGCTTGAGAGCCAACTCCTGTTGATCAGTGCCTAATAACTGACGACAGCCAGAGATTTCACAGTCATGCCAATTGCTTCCAGCTTGCCACCGGTACAGGTATTGCTCCGTTCCGCTCGTTCCTGTGGAAGATGTTCTTTGAGAAGCATGACAACTACAAGGTACAGCGGTGTTCTACTTTATCCCGGCAGTATCAAACTAAAACCACCCATCTCTCTTAAAGTAAAGTTCACAGAGAAAGACTAAACAAAGGAACAATGTGTTAACTCTTGTGCAGTTCAACGGTCTGGGATGGCTCTTCCTGGGTGTTCCAACGAGCAGTTCATTGCTCTACAAGGAGGTCAGTACATCGATCTCTGCTGTTTTCATGAGAAACTGCACAAGTGCTACTCTCCTCTTATTTGTTTTCATGCAGCACTCAACCTATCTAGTTGCACTGTATTTGTGAATGGACATTATTCAGGAGTTTGAGAAGATGAAGGAGAAAGCGCCAGAGAACTTCCGGGTTGACTACGCCGTCAGCAGGGAGCAGACAAATGCGGCGGGGGAGAGGATGTACATCCAGACCCGGATGGCGGAGTACAAGGAGGAGCTGTGGGAGCTTCTGAAGAAGGACAACACCTACGTCTACATGTGTGGGTTGAAAGGCATGGAGAAGGGTATTGATGACATTATGGTGTCACTGGCTGAAAAAGACGGTATATATACTAGATAATCTTTTGAACCTGTTATCTTTAATTTGAACCATTCTTGCTGTGAAGTTAATGGTGCTGACTTGTGTTGCATTGCTTGCACAATGTCAGGAATTGACTGGTTTGACTACAAGAAGCAGCTGAAGAAGGGAGAGCAATGGAATGTGGAGGTCTACTGACTGTTCAATTTTGCATCTGACATTTGTGTTTTGTGTATCTGTACGTGAGGCCAAGGTGTACTGCGTATATAATGTAGATAGTGAGTTTGTTCTGTGTTTTACTATGCTTGTTTCTTTTGGGTTTTATATGTACTCTTGTATTATGTCTATTCAATTTTTGTTATGAGTAATGTCATCAGTACACATGAAAAGAGTGATGAAGTGGCTCAGAATTTCCGTCCCCACAGATTTTTGGTAAAGCCCTTGTAGATATTTTTTTTTTTTACTTTTGGTTTATGTCAAATGCAGGAAATTTTATTGTACATTGAAATTGATATCTACACAATGAACACTTGCCCTTGACAACCAACATAGTTACACAACAAAGTTACAATAGCATATCCGTACTGTCTTTTTTCTGCACATTTCTTGGACCATTTTTTGTGCAGTAAATAAATATACTAATGCAGACGCATACAAAGTTACAATAGCATATCCGTACTGCTTATATTTGCAGAAAAATTCTGCTCTCCAGTATTGCCCACACTCTACTCTGTATTTCTCCAGAGGCCTACAAAATGGCTAGCTGGTAGTAGTGGTTCAGTTATGTGATGTTGCTATCATCAGTAAGTAGGAGTACTGTATTTAAGACCATTCTACTGTTTGGATTAGAATCCAAACACTTTGTTGGCACCAGACTGATCGATCTGAGAAGGAAGGAAGGAACATTGCCCACCCTGAGACACCAAAAGGAAAAAAGAAAAGGAGCCAGGCAGAGATCTTATTGCTGGGACTGTTACAACCAAACGACCAACAGTCAGAGGATGCTGCTGTCCGTCTTCAGTTGTGCTGCACTTGCTGCTGCTCTTTGTCAGCAGCGTCTTCTTCAACCTTTGGAGGAGGAGGACAGTGCAGGGCCTCCTGCCTCTTGCCCCACAGCAGAAGGTACAGGCCACCTATCACTAGCACTGATCCCAGCACACTGCAGGCACAAAGGGCACCGGAGGAACAGAGCAGAGCAGAGAAGGTGACTTCACTTTCGATCAGGTGGATTGGATTCAGACATTCAGTGATGACATGGTATGGTACCGTGAGTGTCCGTACGTACCTTCCGAGGTAGAGCTGCTCATGCAGGATGGAGAAGTCGATGACGGAGACGATGATCTGCACCACCGGTATGAAGGCGGCGACAAACACGGCTCCCCTCTTCTCGATGCACCATGTCACCAGCACGAAGGAGACGCCGCAGCCGACGATGCCCTGAGAAAGTGAGGATCATTCATCAGAATGATAATGGAGCTAGCTAGTTGAGAGTTTCAGACTTGAGAAATGATGAAGCCGTGTGATGCATGGCAACGAGGAGACTGAAATAAACAAGGAACAGTGAGTGAGCAAAGCAAGCAGGTACGGCGTATAGGACGGTGAGGATGTTGAACTTGCTGGTGATGATCCAGGGGGAGATGCTGCGCTGGGTGCAGAGGC